CTAAAATAATACTATTCCCATTTCATTTGTGTGAAGAATGAAGACTGGGTAAAGCCAGTTAACATATTCAGAGTCACTCAGGATGGCAGTGCCAAAGACAGCTCTGAAGTGAAGGTATTCTCCTTTCAGCTCAAGGCCCCTCCCTCTTCTCCCATCTCCCCAGAAACAATGCCTGCTCACATCTCTCACCCACACTACCACACACATAAGCCGTCAGCTGCAACTTCTTAACCCACTCCAGTGCACCCTGAACCCCATGTCAACAGAGTCCCAGGAGACTGTCTACCCAGCACACTTGTATCTCACACCGAGGAAGGACTCAACACACCTCTAATTTTCACACCTCCACTCCCAACACAATAATGAACCTAAAGAGAAAGTATGGAAGAATCAGGCTTTTAGCCTTAATGTTTTCTCCTAAAATTTTCCTTCCTGTGTAATTCACAGGGGCAAAGCTGGATGTGATATCAAGTAATACACCTATAAGCATATGACAGCCACCCTGAGTGAACCAGCAGCAATGACCAACACAGAATCTTTACCCTACATGCATCCACACTGCTCTGTATCATCAGATTCCACATATTCCACAGCAAAATAGATAACTGGTGATTTGTTTCTATTAAACTCTATGAGTTACTTTTCTCCACAAATGAATGCTATTAATTTAGTAGAAATGTATTGATGTATATAGTATTAGTCCTCAAAATAGTTTAATGTTTACTTTTTAACCCATAGCAGAAGGTAGATAAAGAAAAGTATAGAGTAAAAAGGTGGTAGCGAGTTGACTAGAGTATCACCCATCAATTTAAGCCAGGAGAGTGACACTCGAGAGAATAAAAGCAGATGGAGCAGAAACAAAAGCAAAAGCATGAGAATGTATTCGTGGTCCTAGGAACAACGCTAGTACAATAGTTCAACACACATGACCAGAACCAATGTTTAAAGTAGCCTTTTTAAGTTAGAATCCTAGATGGTGCCGCCACGACTCTTCCTTCTCGTATTCATCCTGTTGACAACCGGCTCCCCCTCTTCTTCATTTTGAGAGGGTATCCACACAGATGACCCTCTCGCTACCCTCGCTTCTCAGAGCGCCACTGGTTTTCGCCCAAGGCCCTTGCTCCCCACCCTCTTCGTACAAACCAACAAACCACATTCAGAGGACTATCATTAACAGTAATCCCCCCTCGACAACGCACCCCATGAATATCCTTTCTTTATCTAACACCTGCTGTCTTTACAAGTCACCCACACACACAAATTGTGCAACCAGAACAATCACTCAGCCCAATCACTTAGCTTAAATCACCAGCATCAAGCCATCCCATAATGTTGGCCTGTCTTGTTGTGGAAAGCTTCCTAGGTTAAATTACCCACTTTCAGATTTTATTTTCTACCTCTGCTCTCTTCAATTCCATACATCTTTTTCCTCCTACCCCTACCCACTCCCCAGCCTAGTGCTGGGGATTGAACTATTTGTGAATACTAGGCAAGTACTCTACCACTGAGCTACATCTCCAGCCCTCCTTCTTCTATTCAGTTAATGATCTTGCTTTCCATTTCATCGATAGCACTTTCACATTTCCAAACTCAAGTCCATCAAACCATTTCTATCCATGCCTATACATTTCATGTATTTTGCTATTGAGATGGTTAACTCTCTGTAGTCCTACCTAAAACCAGCTCCCCAGCAGTTCAATGGGCCCTATCTAGTCATTTCTCCATCAGACCTTCTCTGCTACGTCCTTGATTTTTTTCTCTGCTTTCCAGAGTCATTTCCATAAGCACAGAGAATTATTCTCCATCTTTATAAAATGACTACTGGATTGCATATTCGTCCTGCATCTGCTCCTTCATACTCGGCTCTTTCTTGTAAAAATTTCTCAAATAAACTTCTGTATTTCTGTCTGTATTCTCTCTGGAGTCTACTCTAATCATGCTTCAGACTCCACCACGCTACTAAACTCACCCTTGTTCAAGGCAACAAGCCAGCCTTCGGGATATCTGGTGTTCTGTTCTCTTCTCGATCTTTAGCAGTATTAGATCCTTGTTTGCACAATGCCCTCGGTACAGTACTCTGCTTGGTATCCTAGACTCTGCTCTCTCTGGGTTCTTCTGCACTGCCATCTCAGTCTCAACTTCCTGACCTGTAAAATCCAGGTTCCTCGCTGCTCACTCCTTATACTCCATTTTTCTATCTATAATCACTTTCTACGAGGCTTCATCCAATCCTGTGGCTGATCTATGCATTACAATTTTTTCCTCTGACTCTGACCTTTCCCTTAACTTCAAGTTTACATATTCCACTTCCTAATGAGCATGGACAGCTTATCATGTTAAATCTCAAGGTCCTGACTTACCTGCCCTGTCTGTTCCTTCATTTTTCCCATTGTCTAAATGAAACTTCTGCTTTCCATTTACTTTGTCCAAAAACTTCTGCTCCGTGACAAACCTCAGTCTTTCCCTTTCAACCCCTGTATTCAATCCTTCTGCCACCAATCCTGTTCTTCTCTTTCTAAATGTATTTAGAAACCAGCTGCTCTTCATTCTTTTTACTGTTATGCCATCTCAGTCAAGAACCAGGTTTTGAGTTATTTGTTCATTTTTTTTCTAATTTATTCATTTTTATTTTATATGTGTAAGTGCATAGATGCATAAATACTACAAGCATGCCTGGTGCCTATGGAGGCCAAATGGAATTGGATCCCCTGGCATTGGAGTTAAGTTATGGATGGCTGTGAACATCCATATGGGTGCTAATAACCAAACCTGGGTGAATGCTCCTAACCCCTGAACAATCTCTCCAATATCTTCATATATTTATTTGTGTGGTTCTGGGGGTGAATCAGGAGCCTTGCACATGATGGAAGCATTCCACTACTGAGTGACACTCCCAGCTACAAAAACCAGGTTTTTGTACAGCACTGACTCATCAGTGACAAGCAGAGTACCCAGTGTCTATCTGCCACTCATAAACACTGACATTATTACCAGCATCATTATCAGCATTGTCTTGATCATGCCAATGCCTGGGGCTAAAGTGTTACAGCAGGGTAACTCATGAAGTACTATAAGACAGAGTGTGATAGGCACTAAAGTCGGGCAACACCACTGAGAGGCACAGACAAGAAAACAGTCAGGACTGAGTAGGAGGGCCAGTGCAACTATTGTTCAAGGTTCTGTGAGGAAAGGATAATGACTTCATACCTAAGAATTGAGTTTTATTCAAAACTAGTGAGACATGGTCACCCGCAGGATTTACTGCACACGTGGAACACTAAGTATCATTAGAAAAGCTTGGTATTATTTGATTTCCTTACCAACGCCTGAAATGCAGGAAGGAAATAATCATAATACAGAAGAAAGCTGAAACAACACAAAGAGAGCCAGGCATGGAGAGTAAACCTTTAATCCCAGCAATCAGAAGGCAAGAGGATCTCTGTGAGTTTAGAGACAACCTGGTCTACATAGGAAGTTCAGAACTACATAGAGACTCTGTCTCAAACAAACAACTAAAAGAAAAAAAATTCTGTGATTTTTGCAAAGTCACTAATTTAAAATCCACTATTGTCGATTTTAGACCAACAGTGTCTCTGTCTTTCTATTTCAGAGTTATCTCTCCATCGTGTTCTCTTTCCACTGAAATAGTAATTTTATTCACTTAGCACAAGGGTCAGAATAAAATAAAATTCAAGGTCCTGTCAATATCTGTTAGAACATCTTATTAAATAGATGGTATCTTGTACCAGGAAAGCATATATTAATGTTCATCTGTTATGGGAACAGGCGCATAATGTTGTATTAAAATGTACAGACTTAGAATGAGAATTGGCACTGCATATGAGTAGGAAAAACACAATAGAACTAAATGATATGCAATATATGAGAAAATAGTACAAAAGGATATAAATAAAGTAATGGAACTCAGACTCGGCAAAGATATAGCGCTGAGGGAAATGTCAGATGAGATTTCAGGATTAATTGTTCATTCATCAGAATAAAAGCACAAGTGCTTTTTTTTTTTTTAAATAGGAATGGCTATCTGTGCAGAAGAAAATGTAACTTAAAGAAAGATGGAAGTTTAGGGAAATAAAACATAAAATGAACTTCATTTCATACTGTGGTCTTCGTTTGATCCAGGACTGAAATCTGCCCTACAGTTTTTCTCTACTTTTACTTTCGATAACAAGATGGTTTCAGGTTTAGTTGTTTGTTTCAGCCTCTTGCAAACTGGCAAGTGCTTTACCATGGAGCTATATCCTTAGAACTACTTCGTAATTTCATTTCTGTATTTATTCATTTACTTGAGATGGGGTCTCGGTATGTCGCCTTTGTTGGCCTCAAACTCACAGAGATCCACCTGCTTCTGCCTCCTGAGTGTTGGAATCAAAGGCGTACCAGCACCCCACTCCACTCTGTAATTCTTTCTGACAGCAGGACTTCTGCACGTATGGTTAAGTTGCAGTTGGGCGCAGCAGCGAGCACAGCCCTGCAATCCTACCACTTGGAGCCTGAAGCTGAAGGATCAATACAAGGTTGAGATGAACTCAGGTTACATGCTGAGTCTAAGGCCAGACTGGGCTACAAAGCAAGATCCTATCTTTAAAATGCATGCACATATGCATACATTCATATATGCATGCACACATCAAAATAAAGGATAACTTGTAGTTTGAAGTGTTTTCCAATACACTGATATCCAACAAATTCTATTAGAAAGTTAGATGAAGTTCATGATAAACTAGAAACAATATTCTGCTTTGGATAGCTGTGCTATGAAAGTTTTTAGTTAAATATGAACAAATCATGAAACATGAAACAAACAGAAGCAAAGAATATAATTAAATAAAATGCCCAGATATTGACAACTAGAAGTCAAAGAGGGGAAAGCTGTGGTAATTAGTTTATAATTCCATTTTTCTAGAACTTCGTTCAATTTATTTACCAAAATTGAATTTAAAACAAATAAATAAAAAGTGCCCGACGGACAGCGCACTGACCTTGCAGTGGTCATACTGAAGCTGTAAGGCGGGAACGTCCCCTCCAATGGGCATCTGTTTCTTAAGCTCTTCATCTTTCATATTTAGCCATTTGATCAGGTCTTCAAGAGATGCCAGCAGCCGGTTCCACTTCTCAGCACTGGCCTCCAAATGGGCCCTGTTGACAGACATAGATGACCACATGAAGAAGTGCCAGTGGACAGTTACAACTGAAAAATGATACACACTCAGGTGGCCTAAGTGTGTCCTGTGTGACCAAATCACACTCACTCCCCCAATAAAAGGAAGACTGACCCTGGGCACAGAAAACATACTCTTTGAGAAACAGTTATATCAAAAAAGTTCTATTATCCAGGCTATGTCTATACTACATTAAATTACAAAGCAGGTTCTGATAGCTCACATACACTATACACATATTGAATACAGAGATGTAAAGACTCTTTCTCACTTTTATCTAAATACATAGTGAGAGGGAGGAGAGGAATGGAACACACATAAAACATCTGGGGCCTGTTTATTGTTTCATGTCTTTAATCCCAGCACTCAGGAGACAGAGGCAAGCAGATCTCCGTGAGTTCAAGACCAGCCTGGTCTACATAGATTATGTAGGCAATCCAGGGATAAACAGTGAGGCCTTGTTTCCAAAAACGAAAAAAAAAAAAAGGAAAAAAGAGAAAAAGAAAGACAGACACTGGTTATTACCTTTTACAATTAAAAGAAAATTTATTTAAAATGTTATATTCAAAGTTTATTTTTCTCTCTAAATGGAAAAAAAAAGACTGATCTTTTAAGAAGAAGGGGGTCATTAACCCTCAGTTTTTCCTTATAATCAAGTAAATTGTTAGAAGCAAGACCTTAGAAATACTTCCAAGTTCCAATTGTTGGAATTTCTAATTCAAAACTGTTAAAAAACAAAAACAACAAAAATAAAAAAAGCCAGTAAGTCATTTGTGGTGGTTTGAAAGAAAATGGCCCTCAAAGGTAGTGGCACTATTAGGAGGTGTGGCCTTGTTGAAGTCGGTATGGCCTTGTCGGAAGAAATGTATCATTGTGGGAATAGGCTTTAAGATCCCCTTTGCTCAAGCTATGCCCAGTGTGGTATACAATTCACTTTTTGCTGCCTGCAGATCAAGATGTAGAACTCTCAGCTCCTTCTCCAGCACCACGTCTGCCTGCATGCTGCCATGTCCCACCATGATGATAATGGACTAAACCTCTGAAACTGTAAGCAAGTCACCCCAGTTAAATGTTTTCCTTTATAAGAGCTGCCATGGTCATGGTATCTCTTCACAGCAAGAGAAACCCTAAGACAACATTATTTAGCCAGGACACTACTTGGCTTTAGGTTGACTGGTATCCTGTGCCAAACTGCCATGTGAACAGAGAACAAGTAGGCAAAAAAATCACTGACCACAGTATTTTATACACTTATTTATTTACTTATGTATATATGCATGTATGCACACATGCATGTGCATATGTATATATGTTAAGAATTAAACTGGGGGCCTTGTACATGTTAGGTATTCTGTTAAATATGTGTATATATATTTTGACTTAATGGTGACATCTTTGTTTTATTAATTATTTCCCTTTTTAACACAGCCATCAATTACAAACTTCATAACCAAGGATGATTTTAGGAAATACTTGGTTACAGTTCTTAGCATTAATCAGAGGAAAAAATTCTTCTAGAAGAAGCCCACCCATGCAGCCTGGAACCCATAGAAGGGCTGTATTTAAAAACATGTACTATTTAGAGCAGCGGTTCTCAACCTTCCTAATGCTGTGACCTTTTAATACGGTTCCTCATGTTGTGGTGACCCCCAACCATAAAATTATTTTTGTTGTGATTACTTCATAACTATAATTTTGCTACTGTTATGAATCATAATGTAAATATCTGTGCTTTCCAATGGTCTTAGGTGACCCCTGTGACAGGATCATTCAACCCCCAAAGGGGTCACGACTCACAGGTTGAGAATCTCCAGGCATTCAAGGAATTGGACTTTTCTAAGCACTGCAGTACCCAAGTGGACAGTCATGAATGTGGATCTAGTGCTAAGCTGGCGAGATGGACTGTCGAGCCTGTCTGTGATCAATCTGGCTGAGAGGTTCAAGGTTGTTGGAGATTCACATAGCTTCATTACACAACATCTTCCAAAGGGAAGGACTTAAAGGAGTGGGGTGCATATATGTATGAGTTATCTGGGGAGCTTCAGCTATATAGAACATACATTCAGGCTCCATGTCTTCTAAGACTACTTTTACCATGATGTTGGCATTATGATCCTCACCTCCATAAATCCCATCCTTTACCAAGGGCATGGAAGCAACCCACCAGGATCAGCCACTCATGTCACTCAGACCTCTCAGGCATTTCCGGTGCCTATCTGATCCACTTTAGCTTTTGTCTCAAAGCTAACAGCTCTTGCTATAGGTAACCCAACACGTATTACCTCATTGGTCACACTTACATGCTATTTCCGGCAGTAGTCTGTGGTGATATTGTGCTCCCCAAAATATTGTGCACCCTAATAAACTTATCTGGGGTCAGAAAACAGAACAGCCACTAGATAAAGAGGCCAAAAAATGGTGGCACTCACACCTTTAATCCTAGCATTCCAGAGGCAGAGATCTATCCGGATCTCTGTGAGTTCAAAGCTACACTGGAAATAGCCAGGCATGGTGACTCACACCTTTAATCCCAGGAAGTGATGGCAGAAAGCAGAAAAGTATATAAGGCGTGAAAACCAGGAACTAGAACTGGTTAAGCTGTTAGGCTTTTGAGCAGCAGTTCAGCTGAGATTCATTCAGATGAGGACTCAGAGGCTTCCAGTCTGAGGAAACAGGATCAGCTGAGGAATTGGCAAGGTGAGGAAGCTGTGGCTGGTTCTGTTTCTCTGATCTTCCAGCGTTCACCCCAATACCTGGCTCCGGGTTTGTTTTTATTAATAAGACCTTTTAACAATTTGTGCTACAGTAGATATTCAATGACATCCTAAGTCTTGGTTAAAAGTTAATCCAGCTCATGTCTACTTCACAGAACAATAACCAGAGTCTACCATCCGATATTCCCGGCAGAAAAGGAAAAGCTGGTGCTCTAGGCTCACTTGAAAATCCCACGAGCCTGCATTCACATAGTAGCTGCAAAGGCCAATTACCTTCCCATCTAGTCACAGCTGCGCTGACACCTGGCTAATAAAACCAACTACTCAAACTCGAACATTCTCTGTCCCATTCCAAAAGGTTAGCCGTAAAATACTAAGACATGAATTTTAAGTCTTAAAGACGTCTAAAGCATTTTCTAATTATCTCAAAACTGGGTGGTTGAAATTTCATTATGGTTTAGCTAGCTTAATTTAGAGGGTGGATAGAGGGCTTGCTGTGCAAGCATGAAAACTGGGCTTTGGATCCCCAGAATCCACATCAAAAAAGCCAGGTAGGCAAGGTGGCTACTTTTAATCCCAGCCCTGGGGGTGGGGGTGGGTACAAAGACAGCTAGCTAGCTACAGTGGCTGGAATCCATGAGCTCTGAGTTCAGCTAGAAACCCTGACTCAATTAAGTAGAGAACAACAGTGGAAGACACCGGACTTCTGGCCTCCTCCGCACTTACATGCGTGTGCATGCGACCACACCCGCACATGTACACACAACCCCCCCCCCCCACCCACACACACAAAATTTCTTCTCTTTCTTTTTTTTCCTCCCCCCCAACCCCCCGAGACAGGGTTTCTCAGTGTAGTTTTGGTGCCTGTCCTGGATCTCACTCTGTAGCCCAGGCTGGCCTCAAACTCACAGAGATCCGCCTGGCTCTTCCTCTTGAGTGCTGGGATTAAAGGCATGTGCCACCACCGCTGGGCCCTTTTATTTTTTCTTCCTTTTACTATTGTTTCTACTTCTTCCACAGATGTTAGGCTTGACCTAACTTGATAAAACTGTCTTTTGTCAAGATCCTGAGTCTGTGTGAGCTCCAGCTTTTCTGTATCACTATTAATTTTGGAAAAAAAATTTTCCTGATACACAACAAATTTTCTTGCCATAGAGCACAGCTAAGTAATTCCAATTGTAGAAACTGAAAGCCCTGTACAGTCATAAGCTGCTAATGCAAAATACTTGTTGCTTTATATATGTTTGACAAGGCTGTTACAATTGCTTCCCAACCATGTTTAAATGCAAGAGACAGCTAGAAATCACAGGTTCGCATTCAACCAAGAAGTGCTGAACCTCCTGAGTAAACCACTTATGTGCACATCCAACCTCTTATTGAGATCTGGTACTGCGTCCTCAGTGTCTGTACTTTCAACATCAATCAATAACTAAGCTACATATTATGTTCCTTGGTAATCCAGTCCTACAGGCTTCCCGTAGAGCACACAAATGTCTTTCTCAATGCAATAGACTCTTTTCACTGCACAGAAACACTGGAATTGATCATTGAGCATTATGGTGTTCAGGTATTCAGCCCCCGAAGGACCATCTGTACAAATGAAGGCCATACTTTTTACAAGAGATGCTTTGAAATGAAAATGGAAGCGGCGATTCCATGTGCTGCTCCGCATCTCTGCTTTCCCATAATAAACACTGAGCTCATCAGACAGAACCTCTGCCCGGCAAACCTGTTCTGCTTATTCTCCAGTACTTTGCACCTCTGTACTTGGCAGATTACTACCATATGCCCAAACAGGCGCAGGCTTCCATAGTAGCCTATGGGGTTCCTGTTTCATTTCAGTTCTGTTTTCATCCTTAAAGATGAAAGAACCCACTGGCCTTTTCCTGGCCAGTGGGTTGAAGGCTTTGTGAGGACAAACTGTGTGTTTGTGTTTGGTTTAGCTGTGTTCACTTACTGTGACTATAACGTGAATTGCCCCAGCACTACAGACTGCAGGTCATCAACATGTTCTGGGCATTTTCAGGGGGAACATTGCTTTACCTAACTCAGTAACTGTAGAACTGCTTCTCAGTAGTGGGCTTAGCACAGTACCTTCTTTGCACAAGTTCATTCTCTGGATATGTGAAATGTGTAATGCAATAGACCCTTTCATTGACTACAGTATCAACACTAATATCGACAGTGAATTCTCCTTCACACAGATACCCCTTTCTGGATGAAATCTGTTTTTACAAAGCTCTAAGTTTTACAACTTTTTACATGACTAGTTATTCAAAAATTATAATATAAAGGCTTGTTAGACAAAAATTTATTAAAAGCTTATTTCACCAATCAACTACAGTAGAGAAAGAATTACAGAGTGGAATGCACACTCCTATCTGTTTTAAATCACCAAAATGATTTTTCAAAGGAACTGTCATCAAAGAAGTCATTATACCCTTCCCCAGAATATAAGCATCAACAAAGAAAATAGCATATGTAGGGTCATATGCTAAAAGATACCAGTTTGGGGACTAGGGACAGGAAGAAGTTGTAGAGTGCTTGCTTAGCACACACAGGATCCTGATTTGATCCCCAGCACCTCTTAAGCCAGGTGGGGCGGGGGGGCTGCCTGTAATCTCAGCACTCAGGAGGTAGAGGCAGGAGGAACACCAGTTCAAGATCATTTCCAGCTCCACAGTCAGTTCCAAGCCAGCCTAGGACACATGAGACCCCGTCCAAAGGAAGGAAAGGAGGTGGGGTGAGGGAGGAGAGAGGAGAGGGGGGAAACAGCTTTCATTTATCAATATAAACCAATGTTCACAGAGCACCCCTTAGGTGCCACACTGCTTCCAGAACGAAAAGGCAAACTGTCAACATTCTAAGGTCAAATTAGGATAAATTCAAGTTCACCAAATACACGCCCAAGATGGGAAATCTGACAGCCGCTCTACAAGGTACAGGACTCAGCCCTGGAAGAATGTGGACTTCAACCAGCCAAGGCTTTGGTTAAGCAACAGAAAGGGGAAAAAAAATATATTGCACATCTATACTGTACACAAGTCAAAACACATTAGCAAAGTTAGTCTCCTAAAGTGTATAAGGGTCTCAGTGAAGAGGAGGCTAAGCCATATTACCTCTGGTAGCATTAAAAAAAAACTGTACAGAATGAAATCTGTAATTCTGGGTACAAATGTGATTTTTCAGTTTATTATGAAGCCCATTGATTTTAAATTGTGTTATAAAAACAACAAAAACCTTAACTAATGTAACTAAGAATCTAGCTGTCATGTAACAACATTCAAAACAGATTATTCCTGCTCCCAAAATGAACATGAAGACCCATCAAGAAAAACACTGAGTCCTTAAAATTCAGTCATTAAAGAGTACCCCAAAGCTATGATCTGATATGGTTGTCACCTGTGATGTGTGGCTATTGAATCATAAATTTAGGTTCATTAAGATAAATGAGATTTAAATTCAGTCCCTCGTTTATATTAGCCACATTGTAAGAGTTCAATCCGCCACTTATAGCTAATGGGTCATGAAGAAACCAGATGGACTGGGCTCCTCCTGTCATTGCTGAGAGCCCTACTGAGACGTTCTAACAGGAAGAGAGTAGAATCTTGTTCTCTTACATTCAGGAAAAGGCGACTTTAGTTTTATAATGTGGATAGTTTAACCAACTCCTTAAGGTTAAGAATGGAGCTGTAAAATGTCGTAACATGTAATATAAAGGATGATGGCAAATGGTCATCTTCTCTAAGGGCTTGAAACGGTGCCCCAAACTTTTAAGAGGCTTATAAAAGAAACGCAAGATAGAATTTTATCTTTGAACTCTGTTTCCATTACAGTTGACAACTTCCCCGGCCTTTGAAATCTCTTGTTAAGATGGATCTATATTAAACATCATTAAGCTGATAAGAAGATATTTAATTAGCATAGTCTTACATTCAATAAATTTAATTTTAAAATGTAAGTCATGCCATTCAATCTTGAATTTATTAGTATAATGCCAATTCAGTTTTACAAGTGATCATAAAATAGTGCCAGCATTCTTAAGAGCCTATTTTAAAAGTGAAATCTTAAGTCTCCCAGCACTTGGGAGGCAGAGGGAGGCGGATCTCTGTGAGTTCGAGGCCAGCCTGGTCTCCATAGTGAGTTCCAGGAAAGGCGCAAAGCTACACAGAGAAACCCTGTCTCGAAAAACCAAACCAAACCAAGCCAAAACAAAACAAAAAACCAGGAACCATATGGTCCTACAGATAAGGATTAAGATGATAAAGGGGCAGAAATACAGCTGCATTTTTGTCTAAAAGAAAAATAGATGGGGAAGTGATGCTGGACTAGCCACGTGAGGCTACAATTAACCACTTATCCCTATGTGACAGAGCTCCTTTTTCAGACAGTCTTCCAAGCCCAGTTTATGGCTGAGACTCTGATGTTTGGTGTCCATAGCAGTCATAAATACTCAGAGTATTCCCACTGGCTTCTAGGCAAGGCAAAGGGAGGAAATTAACCTCTATTAAAGATCGTTTCAAGCAAAGTAAGCAATTAAGAGAAAAGGTAATTTTCAATTAATTACAGGGAAGAGTAGTGGATGAGCCTGAAGAAATATAAAAGACATTGGAAAATTTGATACCAACAGAAGGCAATGTGAGCAACAGGCAGGACTCCAGAGGCCAGAAAGGAAACAGCTGAGGAGGGGCCTGAACAGCAACCCCGCCCACATCATTTGCATATATAATAAAGTGGGTGGGACTGGAAATAGAATAGCCCAGAGAGGAATTTTTCTTCCCAATAGACCTTCAGAGAAAGGTTTTTCGCCCCCACTCTTGCATGGAGGGTGCCTCACACGGAAAGCCACCTTGAGCAGTGACTGCTGGGAATTCATCATTCCAGGGTTGAGTACAGTTGTGTGAGACTGACTACTGTACACTTTACATGGCTACCAAGTAAAGTAATTGTTCTAAATGGGCATGGTGGCACTTGTCTATAATCTCAGCACTCTGTGGATGAAGGATGAAGAAGAGGTAAAGGCCAGGGCCTAGGGAGACAGTTCACAAGTTACTGCTCATGCAGAGGACTCAGGCTGGTTCCCAGTATCTACATGGCAGCTCACAGTTACCCATAATTCCAGTTCCAGGGGACACAATGTCCTCTTCTGTCCCCATGGACTGCTACACACATGGTGCACATACATTTACAAGGGTCATATACATGCACATAATAAAAATAAGGGATTTTTCTGGTTTGTTTGTTTGTTTGTTTTAAAGAAAGCATCAAAGGCCAACCTTGGCTACATAACAAACTCAAAACCAGTCTGGGCTATAGGACACTTATCTTTAAAAGGTGTATTCCTTTAATTCCAGCACTTGAGAGCAAAGTCACGCAGATTTCTGTGAGTTCAGGGTCAATGTGGTCTATAAAGTGAGTTCTAGGACAGCCAATGCTACATAGTAAAGCCCTGTCTCAGATAGATAGGTAGGTAGATAGATAGGCAGACAGACAGACAGACAGACAGACAGATAGATAGATAGATAGACAGACAGATAGGAACTCTTGAGGACTGAGGGATAAGAGACTTAATTAGAAAGAGAGAGTGGAGAGAAAACACAGAATAGACTCAGGTAGGCCTGGATTCTTATCTACCAGCCCAGAACTTTATTCCACAGGTCTATTTATAACAATGCCAAGAGGTAGAGCAAAAGAGCTCCCCCTTGCTAGTTACAGTCACTTGGTACCCAGGCCCAAGGTCCAATCAACCTCTTATGCAGTCCTGCTGGGTACAGCCACTAAGAAACCTAATGGGCTCCAATAGATAGATAGATAGATAGATAGATAGATAGATAGATGGATAGATGGATAGATGGATAGATGGATAGATGGATAGATGGATAGATGGATAGATGGATAGATGGATAGATGGATAGATGGATAGATGGATAGATGCATGGATGCATGGATGCATGGATGCATGGATGCATGGATGATGCATGGATGCATGGATGATGCATGGATGATGCATGGATGATGCATGGATGGATGCATGGATGGATGCATGGATGGATGCATGGATAGATGCATGGATGGGATGAACAGATAGATGATAGATAGATAGATAGATAGATAGATAGATAGATAGATAGATAGATAGACAGATAGGCTCTAACAATGTTAACACAGTACAAGATATATAATATTAAAGTAAACATTTGACAATTAGCAGGTGTCAGTGACATTATCATAACTGTTGTAAGGATTACAACATGAATATCTGTGAACAGCTTGGTGCACAAAGCAGAATGCAATGAGTATAAAAGAGACAAAAACTTCTATTTACCTATTCTTTTGGTTGTGCTGAGGATTGAACCCAAGACCTCACCCAGGGTGAGTGCTCTACTGCTAAGTACATCTCCAGTTCCAACTTGCAAGAAAATAAACTTTGGATTTCAATCTTAAATTCTGATAGAGTTGTACAGGTGACAGACTGTCCTTTCTTTTTCAGATACACAAAAATTTACATAAGCACATGTGCACGGAAGGACGCAGACACACACACACATGCTGTGGGATGTTCTGTATGGCAAATGTGTTGCTGATTGGTCAATAAATAAAACACTGATTGGCCATTGGTTAGGCAGGAAGGGTAGGCAGGACAAGGAGGAGAATAAAGCTGGGAAGTGAAAGGCTGAGTCAGAGAGACACTGCCAGCCGCCACGATGACAAACAGCATGTGAAGATGCCGGTAAGCCACGAGCCATGTGGCAAGGTATAGATTAATGGAAATGGATTAATTTAAGCTGTAAGAACAGTTAGCAAGAAGCCTGCCATGGCCATACAGTTTGTAACCAGTATAAGTCTCTGTGTTTACTTGGTCGGGTCTGAGCGGCTGTGGGACTGGCAGGTGAGAGAGATTTATCCTGACTGTGGGCCAGGCAGGAAAACTCCAGCTACACACACACACACACACACACACACACACACACACATTTTATTTTATTATGATATTATGATATTGAGTATTCTGACCTGATGCTAGCCGACTTTGCTTTCAAATCATTCCATCTTTGGTTCATGTCATCCAGTCGATGTTGGAGCATTGTCGCCTCCTCAGAATTCCCCAGTGCTTTCACCATCTTCTGCCTGTTGCCATCGATGCTTTTAAATATGTCATTGTGCGCATCAATTTCGGCCTGGATGTCCTAAAGAGAAAAGCAAAGGGATGACGCAAATGCTAAAGGTCAGCAAGACATGCCAGGGGATTTCTGCAAAGCTACTTTTGTATTCACAGAAGTTGTTTTCAATCGAAACACTTCATTTTACCATCTGTAATATATAACAAGAGCGAGTGTTCCCACAGCTCTGACATTGAAAATAACAGCCTTTAAATCTTCAATACATTGATTCGCCATGTCCTAAAAGTGGAATTTATAATAATCTACATTTCAACTATTTGCCTATTTGATGTCAGTATTTTAGGGTGAGTGGGCAGCTTTTGAAATTTTCTAACTATTAATACAAATCACTGAATTTTGCTTAACATTCAGTGTGATTATTTCTTTCTATTCTTTATACATGGCCAAAGCAAGATACTATGTAATCTTGGATGTTTTTTACATTTTCACAAACTTGCTTTCCCTAGGTGGGCCTGCCCTCTCCATCACATAAAATATATTCTAAGACTTTTGAAGAATATTCATATGTACATTTATCTTCATTAAGAAATAATAAGGAGGAAATAATTTTTCTTCTATTAAATAGGAAGATAGTTTACTTGATGGGAAGAAGAATAAAGTGAAAATTAACAACAAAATTTCTTACAGAATACAAGGAAGCACATGGCAATTTACAAATAAAGCTGTAAAACTATTGTCAAAGTAACTATCTTAAGACCATTAATGCATAAATACATTCAACAAATTGCTTGCTTTAAAGTGAAAACTATAATACATTGGTGGTAATAAGCAACTGAGTTTGAAAACCAAGGTACCAAAGTATATGCTATGTTTTCTTAAATTTTAAAGATATTTTTCAAATTATTATATACACTTGTATGTAAGACAACAGAAATACATTAAAAGATTGAGAAAAAAATCAGAGTAATACAATCTTCACCTAAAGGGGTGATAGAAAAATCTAGATTTTCTTCTGTGTGTATTTCTCTGAATTTTGAAAAGTTTCTACATACCCTCAACAACACTTTTAGTAATAGACTAGGAATATAATAAGTAATAGTCACTAAGAATGAACAAATGATTATGAAATTACTAACTTAAAACAGGCACCAGAGGGGGCCATACAGGTGTGGTCCTCTTTTCCATATCTCATAATGTAGATTAAGCATTGTGCAAGAGCCTCACAGAATGAATCTCAATTAGGAAGAGGAGCATGCACTCTTCAACACCACAGTTTCCGGCCCTTCTCAGCCGGTCTTCCTTTATAAGCCTTTTATAATGCTCTGAGGTTTTGTGCCTCCCAACCCCATAGACAGATTGAAATTTTACTCCTAATGCGATAGTATGAAGAGATGAAGCCTTGGATAGATGGTCTGGTCCTGAGGTAGCATCCTTTTGACAGGATTAACGCCCTAATGGAAAAGAGGCCCCCAAAGGCTGTCTTGCCTTTTCTACTATGAAAGGACATAATATGAAGGCATCATCCCTGAATCAGAAAGTGGGCTCTCACCACACACCAAATCTGTGGGTGTCTTCAGAATGGGGAGAAATAAGTTCTACTGTCTACAGTCCGATTGTCTCATGGCACTTTGGTACAGCAGCCCAAACTGAGATAGCCTCCATCTTCCTGAGGTTCTCCAATTCTAAATGAGCATGGGGGAAATTCAAATAAAAGTTCATTGACTGTTCAGAATCAGCATTCTAGCAAATCTGAGGCCAGTCTGGGTTTCCTTTCTGAGACCCTGTCTTTTTTTTTTCCTCTCACTACTTGAATCATAAAATCTGCAGTATCATTGAGTATCACCTACATATCACATATAGATCTGTATATAAAACTTAGAAGACTAGTTTTGCAATGCTATAGATCTATATCATCACCACATTTCTCAAGACACTCAATGGCACAATCAAACAAGGCCTCTCTTTGCTTTCCATTGCCAAGAGAACTTGGCCTCACATTCGCTGCACAGATTCCTAAGCATCAGTGGACCACACCTAGAGTCACAACATAGCCCCAAGCCACAACATCCTGACATGAGATCTGTCTCCTGACTACTACTTCCCTTCATATTCAAGATACAGAAAGACAGACATACAATAGGATATAGAAACACTTCAGTATATTTCACAAATGCCTCCGTAACATCAGAAGTTTGGATACTGAAAGTGTGAAGCAAATTTCTCGCAATCGTGGCGGGTGATGTGTTTTCCAATTCAGCAAAGGCGGTGAATGGGATAAAACAGCAAGGCTGCAGAGAATGGGCTCGGCCAATGAAGATACACAGCCCTGAAATCTCTGAGGGAGAGCACTAGAATGATGCTCATGCTGGAATAAGGCTTTCAAAGTGTGCTGAAGGCCCTTCCATACTCGAACAACATCAACAGTTAGGAAGAAAACTCAACAACCAGAAGGTGATCAAAACAAAAGAAATCAGCATCCATTATTTTGTTTTATTTACTATTTGGTGGCATATTCTGCCAAAATGCCCAGAACTAAAGAAAGAAATTATATTATGTTTCTTCTGCATCCTTCACAGCCTCTGTTATGCAGAGTAAGCCTTACATAAAACAAAATAGATGATATGAAGACCAATGTCATAAAACAAATACTCATACATTTCTTCCATGCAAGCCCATTTTGACAGATTGGCAAATTAGCCACTGTAACGCCAGAAGAAAGTTAGGCAATGGATTGGATGGCAAAGAGGTAAACAGTTAGTTCAGTGTCCTCACTCACAAGTTTTGGATATGAGAAACGTGAAACCATTTAGAAGCCTGTGCTGTGGAGTCCTGTCGAAGTTCTCACTGGAAACTCAGAATTAAATGAAGTTAATGAATCATGCTCCTTGGTAGATAGCTGTGCAGCGATGCGACACTTTTACCATCAAGATGCCGGCCCGGGAGTCTGTGAGGGCACGACCCTCAAGCAGCATCAGATGCTAAAATAAATCAGACTTCCATAAAGGAAGGCTCGCTCTTGGTGCCCATCCGGGAAGATGGGCCCTATTAATGCTTACCGCTTTCACCCTGCAAGCTCTCCGGAAGGTTAAATAGCACTAAATGGTGACTGATAATTAGCAAGGGACTGTAATCCATCTAGAAGCACAAAGCAATTCTCTTTCAAGCTCTTCACATGAGCCAGTCACGTGCACACTGGGCTCAGAGCAAGACAGTCAAGTCGTTGAACTAATACCTGCAAATGGGGCAGGGAAATGTCTTAAGGATGCGTGCAAAGGGCCTAAGCATAATGTGGAGGGTTAAGAAGGAGGAAGGACTAGGAAAAAAGGATGACTACTTTTCCTCTGACCAAAACACCATCAACTGCATAAGATGCAAACTCCATCACAGCTCTCCAGAACAAGGCTGCAAAAGCTAGGCCAGGTTTTCTGATGAGCAAGCAGTGCTTCTGTGAATAGTACCCACTACCTAGGTCCAGTAAATGGCATAAAAAGAAAGGCATACATTTATTCTGTTTTGTACTTACTTTGTATTTGATATCTTAGTAGCAGTTTTGCCCTTAGCTAGACATTCCTTTAACAGAGATATAAACAAAGATATTATGATGGATAGCACACACACACATTTGTTTGTGTTGTTTCTGTTTTTGCTTTTGAGACAGGGTCACTATCTCTCTCTCTCTCTCTCTCTCTCTCTCTCTCTCTCTCTCTCTCTCTCTCTCTCTCTCACACACACACACACACACACACACACACACACACACACAGAGTTGTTTGTGGTGGTGTTTCTGTTTTCACTTTTGAGACAGGGCATCACTACGTATCCTAGGCTGATCCTCCCTCCCAACCTTTCAAGTACTACGTTTACAAACACAGACCACCATGCCCAGATATAGTTTGTTTCCCATGTCTTATGAACAATAGCAGCCTAATGGTGTAGGTAAACATGTTCCTTTAGATCAGCCCAACAGAACCGTATGAACATTCTGACAGCACATAATCCCACCAGCCAACCTCAACAGTGAAACCCCTGCTAGACTAGATGCATCCTCTTTGAGACTAGTTGACACAACTTTATTTTTGCATGGTTTATTTCTCTAACCCTATATGGCTATAGCAATGTTTCCTCGGAGGAGTGTTGATCCCTGTCCAGAAGGTGGAAAAAGGAGGTTGGCAATTACTTCCCGAGCCTGTCCCAAAGCTTGGGTTAAATAAACAAAGCAACTCATCGGAGGGAAATAAATCCAGCGAGCCTTTTAAAAGTCACGCTGGATCTGAGAGACAGTGAAGATAGAGGGAAAGAAACACTGGAGGATTATCACCAGAACCTTTTGTTTTAAAGATGAGATTCATAACTTGAAAAAAAAAAGATCCAGATAGTTTCCAAAGAAAAATAAACAAGTCAAATCAGAAGCATGTTTTCACAGTTTGTAAGTTGTAATGTTATTCAATTACTTATTGATTGCAATTATGCTATTAATTAATACAACATTTTCTTCCAATAATTAGTCATGCAACTTTCAATCAAGCTATTGCATCATATTTTAGCATTAGCATCTCATTTTGACAGTCGGGTTGACAGTACTGACAGAAACCTTTACAAATTCAGAAATCAATTTTAATAATGTTCTTCTCCCCTCATTTATGATGTAAATGCATGTTAGATCATGGAGTAGAAAAACTTTGGCTCTAGTTTGCTTTGTGCTCCTTGGACAAGACACCGACTAAAACCAACTTGGGGAGGAAAGGATTTATTTCAGCTTACCACTCCCGGGTCACGATCCATCACTGAGGGAAGTCAGGGCAGGAACCTGGATGTGGGAACTGAAGCAGAAACCCCCGAGAAATGCTGCTTACTGCCTTGTTCCTCCTGGTTTGCTTGTGAACCAAGCATGTGAAACGTCCCCCCATAGATTTATGTATTTCAAACCAACTGGAGATGTTTTGAAATGTCGTGGAGACTTTAAGAGAGAGGGTCTCTCTGGAGGATGTAGGTGACAGGCTTGAGCATTATAACCTGGCCCCACTTTCCTACCTCCAATCCAGCTTTTTCTGCTGTTGGACCTGCCC